GGGTTCTAGTCCCTGCTTAGCCATGGAGCCAACTGGGTGACTTTGGGCCAGTCACAGACTCTCAGCCCAACCTACCTCACAGGGTTGTTGTGGGGATAAGATGGAGGAGATGTAAGCTGCCTTGAGCCCTTTGTAGGAAAAGGCAGGATATAAATTGAATAAATAAATAAATAACAACGAACCTTTGCCATTGGACCAGCCCACCACTAGAACATGCCCCCAAGAGCTCCTCCGAGAAATGGAAGACATCTCCAGCTGAAGGATGCCCAAGCCCTCTGCTGCAGATGCTTACTTGGGAGTAAGCCTAGATCTGTTCAGACACATCTTGTTGCTTGAGATAAGTAAGCAAGACTCCCTTTTCACATACAGAAGCCAGCTGGACAGGCTACTGAATCTTACCTCAACTCCAGGAATGGGACAGCGCACAGAGGACAGCGAGCTTGCTCAGGGGCCGTTCCTGGGACTCACCCAATTCTGTACCCCAGTACCTGAGCCCTGTCCCCAGGTATCTGCCGTCTGTGGCCGCCTTTGAATTCCGTGGAGTTTGCTCCGGGGTCAGCACATGCAGCACGGCAGCATTTGGCTTCTCCCAAAGCACACTCTCTTCCTCAGTGTGGAAAGATCCTAAATTTGGTGAGGCGAACTGAGGTCATAGGAGCATGAAAAAGTGCCTTGTACAGAGCCAGACAGATTGTTCCTCATCTCTCCCAAATTTGTCAACCATTCCAGACAGAACTCTTTCCCAGCCTCCCCACTCGGAGAGACCCGGGTTGAATCCTGGACCTTCTACAGGCAACGCATGTATTGTGCCCACCTCCATCAGAACTGTAGTTTTCAGGCAAAAATGTTACTGGAGTGCCTTTTCTGAAATGTTGTAGCTTCTCCGTACACTTCTAAAAGCAACTTCTATAAACTTGACATACCATCTCATCCTTCCTAAGAACAATGAAACATGTTTGCATTCCAGGAACCTCAACATGTTGCCAAATAGTGGAAGGGAACACAAGCATCCCTTTCAGCTGCCAGAAACTTGAAAATGCCTCCTCTCCCAGGGATTAGTCTTGTGTCTTAGCACAGGAGTAAGAAACAGATGGAAAGATTTGCTCATAGTCTGTTTATCAAGAAAGTTTTTACTACAGCGTTTTAAAAAATCTGGGAATAGATTATTACTACATTGCATTTATATCTCACTTTTTTCTTCTTGTGAGAAATCTATTATTCCTAATGATTAGGAAAGACAGATACATAATGCAAACCTCCTTTCCTTGTAATTTGTATCTGTTGGTTTGGGTGCTGTCCTTTGAAGCAGGGGTGGGCAATTTTGGCTGCCAGTCCGATTTGATCCACCAGGTCAGTCCAGCTAACCTGCAAGGCCTCAGGTGAGGTCTGTTCCAAATAGAATTGGACATTTCTGAGATGGGTCAGCCAAGGAGAATCCAGAAATGCAGACAGTCTTGATCCATGTTGATAGAGTGTCCAGAAAGGCAGGCAACTGTGTTGCTCCATATCAACTCACCATTCTAGCAGTTTTCGTCTTCCTTAGGCACAGGTATTTGGCAAAATGCTGAAGTCTTAATTGCTCATTATTCCCCACCCGAAATATTCTGCATTGCTGTTGTTGCTGCACAGATCCATTTCTACCTGCTAGCTACTGTGCAGACTACAGCAAAGTCCAGATGTTTGGCTCCCAGTATTCCTGACCTTTGGCCAAGTTGGCTGGTGCTGATGGGAGTTGTAGTCCAAAACATCCAGAAGGCACTAGTTTGGGGAAGGCTGCCAGAGTAAATTTCAGCACCAACAAAGCCCGATGTTGAAGCCAGTGCCTGGCTGGTGCCGTGACATGAATGCTGGACTGTGGCTGTGGTGACCCGAGTCCAAATCCTGTATCAGTCACAAACCACACCAGGTGACTCTGGGCTGGTGACTAGCCTTCAGTTTAAACCTGGGACTAAAGTGCAGTGTCTATAGGTGCAACTGTGATCACAGACACCTCTGTGGTGCCCCCCAAGCTCCCTCGCCCTCCTGATTCTTGTTTTATTACTTAAGAATTAAGATACAGATATTAAACAACAGGGAGGCCAGCTTGCCGTAGTCTGAAGTGTGGTCCTCCAGCTCCATCTTTATTTTGGATCAAAACAAAGATTTTTGGTCCTGATGCTCCGCCTTGAGTTGATGAGCAATAGCAAGGTAGCTTTCCTTTATCCTCCTCAGTTTGCCCTCTGAGAAATTAGTGTTCAGTGGCCAGTCCCAGCTGCCACTGTAGGAACGGGCCAGGTGTCCGCATGGCAGCCATCCTCTGAGTGTGCTGATGACGCTCTGTCAAAATTGCAAATGTGTCCACCAGCCCAGAAGTTCTGGGGACCCCTATCCTGAATCATTCTCTCAAGTTTATTGTGAAGAATGGGTTGCGAGGACAGCAGAAGACCTGGCCTATTAGCAGTGCTCTGTAGCAAAATGTAATAAAAAGGCAACACATCTTTGCTTATTCTGTTCACAACCTCTTTTCTTATTGCTGCACAGACTGAGCTTCACCAAAGATGGCCACCCTTGGAGTCATGTCAGCCTGTACCGGTGCACGTGCCTTAATGCCTTTACTTAGGCCAAGGATCCTGAAAATGAGCACAAGCCAATTCCATGCATCAGTGAGGACTGCTTCAAAGGATTACTATGAGGTGCTGGTGCTGGGCGGAGGTACCGGTGGCATCACCATGTGTGCACGGATGAAGCGGAAAGTGGGGGCCGGCAACGTGGCTGTGGTTGAGCCTCAGGAGGTAAGAAATGTGATGGCTTGCTAAAAAAAAAGAAGAACTAGGGGGAAATCAAGCAAAAACCCCTCAGTGCCTGGAAAAATAAACATTTTTTTCCCATCTGGGGTTTTTCAGTTCTCCTCTATCCAAAGTCTCAACAACTCTAGTTATCTCACCCCAAAAAGGGAGAACATTCCAGAGGAGTTGATTCATCTGCATTGCTCTCCCACAGGCATTCGACCAAATAGAATTTCATGGTGTAATTTCAACCAGAAGCCTTCTTGCTGAAGGGGGCCTGTCACTTTACTAACTAAATAATGACAGCAACTTGTCTGTTGGAGAAACCATTTGCCACTTGAAGTTTGTACCATCTTTGAATGAAAAAGAATAAAATGTGATGAGTTTTAGGCAAACAGCTGCATGCACAGTGTTTTTTTTCCTGCCTGGAACAAGATGTTCCAAACCCTCTGCTCCTACCATTCTGGTGGGATTGAATTGCCACTCAGCTACCGATGGATGGCACAGCTATCCCCTCTGCATGGCTGCATTTGGGTCTGCAGCACTTTTAGCTATTTTCTGCTGGATTCAGAACAGCAGATATGCTGGGAATGAGAGAGTTTCCATATGGCCCACCGTTCTACTCTACCGAACACTGGAGTGTCCAGGAATCAATCTGAATTAGCATCTCTCTCCAGGAGGTGGCACATCGGAACATAGCAGAGGGCTGCATTCCAGGAAGAAAGGGTGGGACCAAAATTCCAGCATCATTTTGCCTGAAGTTTCCACTGCCAGTAATTAAGCCTTAGGAGAGGCAGGGGAGAGAACTGCATAAATTGGGGAAGCTCCCAACAATTGGCAGTTGGGGATAACAGCAGGACCATCTGGAGAACCTTAGAGAGTTAGATTTGGCCTCCAGGTGGGGTGCATTCTGCCCATGTTCCTGATGTTCAGCACCTCACACCTCTTATCCGCTGTAGAAGAGTTATCTCTCAACAGCTCAATGTCTGGATAGCTAAATGGATGGAGGCCATGTGTTGGTGGGGTGTGGGAAGGCCTATCAGGTGTTTGGAGGTCCCTGATAGTCCAGCACAATGCCAGCTTGATGTGTCGTGGCTTTTGCTGGTCTCTTTCAGAATCACTATTATCAGCCTCTCTGGACTTTGGTTGGGGCTGGAGCAAAACAGTTAGTGTCAAGTTCACGCACAACCGCAAGTGTGGTTCCCTCAGGTGTAACGTGGATCCAGTCAAAGGTACAGAAGCTGGATCCAGACAAGAACTGCGTCTATTTGGAGAACAACCAAAAGGTGACCCACTGAAGCTTTCTAGTTTCACTTGTTCCTGAATTAACTGTTCATTTAATTTTTTTCATAACCTAGATATGTTTAACAGAATCAGAATCTGAAATTTTATCTTGAGGTTAAGTTTATCAGTTTTGTTCATTAAGTTTCTTTGATAATTATAAGTCATAATTTTCTTTCTCTGGTAAAATTTGTTCTGTTTAACTTACAAAACGCATAGGATATTTTTCCCTGAGTGTTATAATGTTCTATAGTATTATACACAATACAAGTACTGTTTGTATATGAAGCAAACCAGAAAGTTCAGGCCTCATTTTTGTTAGAGGTTTTTCTAGAGGGTTAGAATAGATGATTTTTCCAATCCCTTCCAATTCTGTGATTCTAAAGGATTTAGTACCACAATAAAATGCATCACATGGGCATCATGATACTTACATCTAAACATCCCAAATTATTTCCATAAAATATCCAGTAAAAACTTTGAGATATATGATGAGAAAATAGTTCTGCCAGTTGTAATAATAGCAACATTATTAGCAAAGTATTCATGTTTCTGGAAGCTGAAGTTACATTTTGTACTCTTCCAGTCTTTGCGGTCATCTTGTTGCAACATCCTTTGCTTGACTCCATGGTTAGCTCTACTTAAATGAGATCTTAAAAAGAATGAGACTTCAGTTATGACCAGCTTAAGTCCTGTTCATTCCAATGGATCTACTCTAAGACCAAATATGAGAGGGACTGATTCCATAAAGGAAAGGAAAGTCTAGAAGAGTTGCATGGAGCTGTTGTAGGGATTTGTAGGGCTTTCATTTATGGGGTTTCCATATGTTGGAGATGACTTGACAGCGCATAACAACTCCAAGCAGGGCTGACAATGCATAGAACCCAATGCTCTGGAGGAACCCCTTTGTGGCAGAGAGACAACAATGCCCATATAAAGTATGCTTGAGCTAACTGTTCATTTCCTCATTGTATAGATATCGTACAAGTATTTGATCATCGCCCTTGGGCTCCAGCTGCATTACGAAAAGGTAATGTATTGTGCTTGCAAAGGCTGTCGTTGCAGATGTAAAACAGTGACCCCAGTTCAAAGGGTTGGGTGCATTCCCTGTTGCTGGAATGCCCCTCTGCCATGGAGCATCACATACAGCTTTGGAAGCCTGCTCATGGAGCCTTGGGTGGTTGGGTGCCAACTTTACATAGGTCAGTCCACTGTTGGAAGAGTTCTCCTGTCCAAGTCTATTTAAAAGACAAAGAACGCTAAAAAGGGAGAGCAGGAGGGGTGGGTGGGGTGTGCCTTGACAGCAGAGTGAACAAGCACAGAGTGAACAAGCACAAAGATCTGGTTGCAGATCTTTCCTGCTGTGGTGTAATGAACTGTATTTCTATTTAAATTGCTATTGTTATTCCTTTGTGTGCATACTACCGCATGTTGTTGTGCCTCTGTGCTCATGGGACACACTGTTTGTGCTGTGGGCTTTGACACTTCTAAAAACAAACTGAAGCGAGTGAAAATGCTCGTTTTCAGTGGTCCCTCTGAAGAGAGCCATGATCCTCACAGTAGCTGTGGGGAATGAATTTTCCCAGCAAACATATATTGATCCCCTGTGCCAAAGCATTTTGGGGTGACTTAGTCTTGAATGGGCAATTAAGCCCCAAAGTCTTTCCAAAGGACCTGCCTCTGGGGGCAGTGAAAACTGCTAGAATATTCTGTTGACATGGATTAACACGGCTGCCTGAATTTCTGGAGTCTGTTTGGGGTGAGGCTATGGATAGCACCATGCTAGATGTACGTACTTCAAAATCTCTAAAATTCCCTTTCCCATCCCTTCTTTTTACCTCCAACCCCCCAGTTCTATGAAGAGGCTTCATTGAGATTGAGAGCTGTTGAACAGAGCTCCCAAATCAGGTGGCGGGTGCTTCCCTAAACAGAGCCCTCCTCTCACAGAAAGCAGACCTGGATTGAGGCCAGGGCTTTTTTGTCTCGGCTGAGCATTCGCAAGATCCACAGTCCAACAGAGAGGGCTTTAAAATACTTCAGCTCACTGATTTCCAGAGGTTTACGTGTCCTTAATTGTGTGTTGAACTGTGAGCATGATGGCACCGGAGGGTGCGCATTCTGTGCATGGACGCGCACATAGTGATGGTGACAGATGTGCTTCCTTTATTGGCCTGCAAGGAGGTCGCTTCTGTGTGGGAACTGTGCAGCCTGTGAATTAGGCGCTGCGCGAGATCAGGTATCAAGCCAACAGAAGAGGCCTCCAGCAGAGCATCTGAAGAAGTGGAATGCATCCCCAGGGCAAGCTCTGGCATCTAAAACTTCTGGTGGAGAACAGAAGACCTCCTGAGGGCTGTGCTTCAAATAGCAGGCACCTGCTGGCTCCGCAAAAATAAGTGTGGACAGACTCCTGGCCTGGGGGGTCTGCTTTGCTTCTTTACTAAAAAGCCAAGACCCACCAGCTGCAGAGGGGCATACGCTGAAGGATGGAGAATTCCGAGACCAGGAACTCACTTTTAAGTTTCAGGACTGGGCTGAACTCATGGCCCTTCCACATACACACACAACGGCCCTCCTCAGGATTAGCCTCAGCGTTCTTCCTTTCAACATTTGGCGTGCCTTTTGCTGCTGTTTTTGTGTAATGACCAGCAGTCAGAAATCTGTGTGGCTCTACTACAGATCACCCAGAGGGTTCAGGCCAGGAGATCCAGTTCTGCCTGGTGTGCTTTTGGCTCATAGGTGATAGAGAAATGTACAGAATTTAGCATGTAAAAGCTGATGGTGGAGGGTTAAGAAAGTCAGAATTAGAAGTATACTAAGAACGGTTATTTCTGTCCTAAAAATACTTTTTTTGCATTCAACAGTGGAAACAAGTTAATGGCTCCATGTAGCAGTGCTCAAATTATTGTGGGGTGAGGGGAGGAGCCTCAATCAAGTCCACAAGCCACCTCCTGAATTCCACTTCACGGAAGCTTTGGGGAGGGTCTCTGCAGAACTGCACTCCTCCTCGCCTGCTTAACAGTTGTCTGGTTGGCTGTGAGAAGGCAAATCTGCCAGGAAGCCATGGCAAGGGGCGGGGGGAGGCACATACTGGGAATTTAGTGGCAGCCATAAGGACAACCATGATGAGCTGTATGTGGCTTCTGGGCCACATGTTGCCCACCCCAACCTAAACCAACGAAACCACCAAGTGACGTTTCACATTTGCAGAAGCGCCGTCCTGGGGCCTACGCCCTCCCTGTGCTGACGTGCTCCCACACTCTGCCCCCAGTGCTTCCTGCTGGCTACCAAATGGATGGTGCCTTTCATTTGTGCAGTCCCTCCTCCCATTCTAAAAGGGTGAACTATCCCCTAAATATCAGGCACTGCCAACAAGAGCTCCGGAATTTTGGTCCCATTTGGAGACACCCCTTTTCCTTTAGCCACTCCCAGCACTGGAATGTTCTCCACCCACCCAAGCCCTTCCCCAAGATGGAATTCAGTCCACAAGCTAAAAAGAGGTTCTGCTCCTGTTTGACTTAATGCAGCAGCTTATTGCATTACTTTCAGGGTTTTGCAAATGTTACAGCATGTAATGAACTTAGCTCAGACTGTCTTCTTGATCCCATAAAGGTCCCTGGCACTTGTATTACTAGAGGAGACCCTCGTTTGAGACTGAGCAAGTCATAGGACAGCCCTTCCCAACCTTGTGCATTACAGATGTGTTGGACTATCACTCTCATGGTCCACATAGACTCTCACATCTGGAGAACAGGCAGGGAGAATCTGATAGAATGTGAAGAAAGCTGTTATTTTGCACTTCCAGGATATTATAAAATGTTATACCACTTACTCTGTTCTGTTACAGGTCAAAGGCCTGCCTGATGGTTTTAAGTTTCCTAAAATAGGTTCCAATTATTCCATTCACACAGTAGAAAAAACCTGGAAAGCACTGCAGGATTTCAAGGAAGGAAATGCCATTTTCACCTTTCCAAACACCCCTGTGAAATGTGCCGGAGCACCACAAAAAATCATGTACCTGTCAGAGGCCTACTTGAGAAAGGTATATACCTGAAATTGCCGCAAAAAGCCGATTCATGGATTTATGCTGTTAACCTGCTGAGCTGATAACAAAAGCGCTTTTCATGGGAATGATGCAATTCTTCCAAGATGCCGGGGTGAAGTAGTTTGGATTAAGTTGTCCTTTGATCATTATAACTCATCCCAAGATAATGGGATGTGAGACAAGATACGATATATATTAAATGCAAGTGTTGATCCACTTTCTTTGGCATTGACATTACCTTCCCTCCCTCTACAGACAGGAAAACGCCCCAAAGCCAACATAATCTTCAACACGTCTCTTGGAGTTATTTTTGGGGTTCAGAAGTATGCAGAGGCTTTGCTAGAGATTATCAAATCAAGGGGCATCACAGTTAACTACCGGTGGAACCTTGTTGAAGTTCGAGCTGATAAACAGGAAGCCATTTTTGAGAACTTGGACAAACCTGGAGAGACGAAGGTCTATCAGGTCAGCAAAAGGAATCTTTCCATTTCCTTTGTTTAGAAGGCTAATGCTGTGACAGTCCTCCATTTGCTGCTAATGGCACAGAAGAGCTATTTTGCAACTCCATTATTCCCAGCCGCTTAAGTCAATGCTCATGCTGGGTGGAAATGATGGGAATTGCTTTCCTGCACCTCTGGTTGGAAGTCTGCAGGAGAGTTCTTCAGCGTTGCACGCAAGGATTAGAATGTTCGACTAGGACTGGGCAGGTTCCAAGTTCACATCCCTACTAAGCCATGAAGCTCACCTTGGGCTATTTTATTGTGTTGTAAGCCGCCCCGAGGCTTCGGCAAGGGGCGGCATAGAAATGTTATAATAATAATAATAATAATAATAATAATAATAATAATAATAATAATAATTCACTCTCCTTTTGCCTAACCTGTTTTAGAATGTTGTGAGGATAAAATGGTATGTGTGGGGCTGGGGAACCTCTATGCCACCAAGCCCACTGGAAGGAGGGAATGATAAAACGCATCTAGGAAAATATTTAACTCCAGTAGGGGTGGCCAGCTGGTAGCCCATGTATGACATAGGTTATCCGAACTGCTTTCCCTGCGCCAGACTGCGAACAGCTCAAAGTGAAGCAGAGTTTTTTGGTTACCTGCAGGAAGCTGATCTGTCCCCCACTGGCTGCATGGAGAGTTGTGGCCCTGGGAAAATTATGCACCTCGATCTTCTTCTAGTGTATCTGTGAGGCTCCTTTACTAACAGAAAAGCCATTCCTTTGCTCAGAGACTAGTATCACCTCATATAAAGGCAAAAGGGTCCCAAAGTGTATAGCTGTTAGCAGATAAATAAATCCACATTCCACCTGTTGAACTTCCAGCTCCCATTAGACCCAATTGCCATTGCAAATGGTGAGCGATAGTAAGAGTTGTAATCGGTCCATCACTTAGTTTGCGTATCACTTTTCCATATATGGTATGCTCATAGTTAAATGGGATAAAATGCTTTTGTTATTCGTATGAAAAACAAGTTGGAAAACATGCCAGATGGATCTTGCTTTCATCATGCTTTGTTGCAAATCGTTTTGAGTATACCATGCGTGGAACAGCTGCATACACAAACAGCAAGCAGAGCTTACTACACCTCCCATCCTATACTGGCCACACTGACTGGGATTGATGGGAGCTGAAGATCTGGAAGGACCCAGCTTGCAGAAGGCTGAGAAAAATCTTCTGCAGAAAGAAGTCACTGTTGGGGTCTTCTGGCATCTGTGTAGGGGTCTGCCTTGATCTCTTGTGTTCTCATTTGTGTCTGGAGTGGTGCCCATAGTGTGTGCATTTGTGAGACACACACACACACACACACACACACACACACACACAGTGTTGTGGAGGAGATGCAGTGGTGTTGCAGCCAAAAGGAAAATCCACCCAAGCGCTTAGCCCAAGACTTTTGCCACAATTAAAATGCTTAACAGTCCAGATTCCTGCAGGCTGCGAAAGGTTGCTTCCACAGTTGCACTCACCCACGTCTGCCTTTCTCCACCCAGTATGAAATGCTTCACGTCACACCACCCATGGGGCCCCCTGATGTCCTTCTGAACAGTCCAGTTTCAGATGCGGCCGGCTGGGTTGATGTAAACAAGGGCACACTGCAGCATAACAAATACCCAAATGTGTTTGGAATTGGAGACTGCACCAACCTCCCCACCTCAAAGACAGCAGCGGCTATAGGTAAGAGGAGTTTTTAGTAGCCGTCTTTGAAAGCAAATTCTGCTAAGACAAAAGACTAGGTTTGAACATGGAGTTCAAGGAAGCATTTCTTCTCATCTGGGAGTGCTCTTGGAGTGGCTGAGGCATTTTTTAAAAACGTTTTAACTGATTCAGATGTGAAGAGGATGTTACAGTTCCTGAAGACCTTATTCTTGTGTTTCCATCCTCCCCCAACCTGGTGCCCTCCAGATGTTGTAGACTTAGGCACCCATCAACCCCAGCCACAACAGCCAATGGTGAGGAATGCTGGGTATTGTAGTCCAAGACAGCCTGCCCTAGCTCAGGACCTCAGTCAATAAATAAAAGTATCACAGAGTACTTGAGTTGGAAGGGGCCAGGTGGCCATCGGGATGAACCCCTGCTGTTGCAGGACACCAGGTTGAACCATCTCTCTCAGAAGTACACGTTAACCAAGTTTTTGTACATATTAGTTGGCTTTGCACAATCCCTTTACACTCATATTGATATTTTTGTAAGCTGTCCTGAGGCTGCGGGAAAGGACTGCATATAAATGTTTTGACAATGATATTGATCATTTCCTTTCTGTACTGCCCCACAGCCAAAGCACTCTGGGCAGTTTGCACAGTTCATAAAAACAGATTATAAAAGTACAATAAATTTAAAATCAGGAAAAAATAAAAATGTAAACAGCTAAAAACTCTTAATAAAAACAGACGGTAGCAAGGGATAACAGAGAGAGGGAGCGGGGGAAGAGTGACTCTGCAGAACTCCTAGTGATCCCCCTCAAGCTGTTTGCAACACACTCCAAAACGCCACATGACCCCACTCAGCAGTTTCATGCAGATGCTGAATAGGTGTTGAATGTGGCACAGAACAGACCCCTGAGGAACTCCATGCTGGGACAGGGGAACAGGGCACCATTTCCCCCGTCAGTGCAGCTTGTTACGTGAACCCAGCCAGGCCTGTGGCAACAATCCACTCTGGCCAGGCTCTCACAAGTGGTGCCGCCCAGGGTTGTTCTGCTATCCACCCACAGGATGAGTCCAAAGTCCCTCCTGTGTGAGCATGTGAACCAAGTCAGGGTGTTCCAACCCTAAACAGGAATCTTGTCTTGCTAGGGATTGCTTAGAGTCTCCAGTCTTAACAGTGGAAGAAAAGAAGTGAGTTCAGCTAAGCACATAAGAAAAGCCAATGCTGGACCAAACCAAAGGTCCATCTAGTCCAGCTGGTGGCAAACCAGCTGCCCACAAGATCTTTCAAGGAGTATGGGTGCAAGGCCTCTGCCTGTCCGAGCTTCTCAGCAGCTGGGGTACGCATGCAGGCCGCCTCAAGGCTAGCAGCCACTGACAGCCTTCTCCTCCAGGGATCTGCCCAGGTTCTCCCGATTGGTGGCCTTCACCATGACCATAAGTGTGACAACATCTAATTCAATTTAACTGGCATATAGCTCCAAATGGTAGAGGCCTCAGCCTTGAGTTTAGAAGAGCGCAGGGCTATCTTAGAGAGGAGATTTTCGATGGCATGTTCACAGGGCTGCCATTAAGTCAGATACAACTTCATGGCATGTAACAACCACAACATGACCCCCAAAATGTTTGCAGTATTTGAATAATTAAAAGAGGAGGGTAGGAAGGAGAAGACATGGAAACCATGCTAGGCAATTGATTTCTTCTAAGAAAATGAATGGAATTTTAAGTGGTACAAGTTGGGAGCCTCATGTTAAAAGGTTTTCCTAAGTATGTATGAAAGTTAATACAGAAAAATATTTTTACAGTGAATTGCATTTGCAAAGTAATTAACTGTACTCTAAGCAGACAGCTCTGAGTTAATCATAGATTCATAAGGATGTGGCAGACTTTTATTTCAGTTGCCAAAGACTGGCAACCCTTGATATGCAGCTGTTTACTGTATCACATGTGTACATGTGCCAGTTGAAAGATAAGTCCAACATTTAAAGAGTCTCATATCCTGGACTCCCCGTCACCTGATCTGAACTTTCAAGCAAAAAATATTCCTCACATTTACACTGAGCAGAAAGATTGCAAAATGATTTATATTAACATTCATGCCTGAGACCATACCTGCTATACACTCATTTGGAATTAGATTTTCCATGAAATCCCTGATTAACTAGACCAGATCTGTTACATAACAGTAAAGTAAGGCTCATAAAACTTACTTAGCCTCAGTCAGATCAGTGGTTCCTCTAGTCTAGCCCATTGCTTTCAAATCCCAAGTACGCAGTAGCTTTGGTAGCTTCCTTTTCCCAGTACCAGTATCTGCAATTTTGTTTTGTTAAAAAGTTTCAGATTAAAATCTGATTTAGGCCAAAATATCTGCTGTCTCTAATTTGCAGTGAACTTCTTTCAACATACCTTATTGAAAACGTAGTAACAGCTTCTAAGTTTCATTAGGACATTATTACAACACATTTTAGTTAGATCAGAGCCCTTGGTTATCATGGAAACAAATTACTTTCATTATGTACTGGTGAAATGTACTCCTGTTTCTCTTTTCCACATTTAACTTCTTTCTGTTGCAGTTCTGTGGGGCAGAGGAACACAACCTGAGGCCCTCCAGGTGTTTCGGAATAGAACTTAATCTTGAGCCCCGGGCAGCAGTGAAAGGTTAAGGGAGTTTTTGAGGCCAAGTTGCCTATCTCTGTTGTAGAGGTTAGCATTAAAAGTATACCCACCTACACACAATTGATGAAAAGCAGAGGTCACAGTTATGGTCCATTAGAAATAGGAAGCAGAAGGAATTGCCTCTGACCCTTTTATAATTAGAACATAAAAAACAGGAATAAGAATGGAACTATTTCATGAACTGTAACTTAAAGCAGGAATATTTCAAATGTTGGTGTTCTAGCATTACTATTTCAGCACTGATATAAAATGAACCTCTCCCTTCTACAGCTGGCCAGTGTGGTGTACTCGATAAGACAATCTCTTCTATAATGAAGGGCAAAACTCCAACTAAAAAGGTAACTTGATTAGTTCTCTGAATTTGTCCTTAAAATGGGTACAACTTGTTTCTCTTTGGAGGCAGTTTTAAAGCCAGTCATTTTGCTGTTGTAAATATCCAGCTAGCAATAGATTAAGTTTGAATTTTTAATCCAACTTCTATAATACACAAGTATTTTTATATGTAAACCATTTCCTGATGCTCTACAATCACAGCCCCAAAATACTGTATTCCATTTTAGGAGTGAAATTTTGTCAAGTACATGTTGAATTTGCCTCTGTTTTGTCATGCCATCCGTGCTTCATCAGGATAAGTACCAGCCTCTCCAGTGTTAGAAAATGTGTGCTAAATTCTCACATCTAAAATGTTCCCTTTTATGAAACATTCAGCTGTTATGCTGCTTATATATGAGCAGGCACCAACATCCAAATGGCCTTTGTTGAACTCACCTGAAAAATGGCTGCTACATGTGGCTTCTACCTGCCCCCGGAGGGAAAAGCACCAGTCCTCAGAGCGGGGACAAAGGGCATATAGATATCAATGGACCACTCTGTTGCTCGCAGCCAAGATGCAAAGATGGAAGTCAACCAGAACAGCCACAATACCCAAATAACTCAGGTTTTGATATCCAGAATGCTACAATACCACAGCAGGCAAAGAGGCCTAAATGTTACATCGGGTAGGCAGCCTTGGGGGATCTTTCTGGGTTGAGAGGCAGTATAGAATTAGAAATTCTAAAAGTGTGAAGAATGCTTTTCAATGTAGTTCAGAGTAGGGTTTTCTTACTTTGTGTAACATTTGTATCATCAAATATTTTCTAGTATGATGGATATACCTCCTGTCCCCTGATAACAAACTACAACCGAGCAATCCTAGCTGAGTTTGATTACAATGCTCAGCCTTTGGAAACATTTCCTTTTGACCAGAGCAAGGAACGGAGGCTAAGTTTTCATATGAAAGCTGATATGATGCCTTATCTTTACTGGTATGGACTACTGAAGTAAGTATGCCAATTTACTAACTTCCACTTAAGACGTTTTGTGCAATACTAGCTTCATTTACTGCAAAAGGAAGGTTTGTGGTTTGAATATTGATATTTGCCTAACTCATTTGACTAGTGAAGAAAAAATGTATAGGAAAGACTAAGTTGTGATTATATTTATGATAGTGTTTAAAACTGTTCTTATAAGAGGAGGTTCTAAGTACACATCTGTTGCTGCGAAAATTATCTGTAGCATTGTGAAAACTTGCCGTGCAGCTTGGAGGAAAAGCATATACCTTAAATTTGTTTAGTTTTGATGATTTAACTTGTATGCCTTTTAAGCAAGCAAATTTTTCAAATTACGTGCAATGCACTTTTATCTTCTGAAAAGAGATGACAAGAAAAAATGACAATACAGGTTTTTCTTGACTACAAGAAAAAAAAATGGAATACAGGTTATTTGAAAAGTCTTAACTTTTTCTATCCCAGTGTAATGTTTTTCCTGATTTTCTTAGGGGATTTTGGGGAGGTCCAGGTCCAATAAGAAAATTGTTACACCTAGGATTGAAGTAGATTTCTGAAGCCACTACAAACTACATCAGAACCAACATGGATCAGAGCTTCTAAAGCTGTTTTCAGATATTCTGCACAAAATGTCTACTGTTTTGATGTCAATAAAGCAGTTCCTAAGCCAAGATGTATGCTTTAGACTCATCTTAATATAAGCATAGTATTTACATAGGTTTTACTATTTTTGACTTGGAAGTAGAAAAGCACTTCCTATTTAGCACAACTGTGCTTGTAGCACTGTGCTATCTTTAGTCTGCCTATGATGTTCTACAGAGTTCTAGGTTATCTAATTTATATAGTCCCTCAGCTTTAGGAGCTGGTGCACTGGCAAAGAGTGATCTAGAATGACCCCCAGTGAACTGTTACCTCACATGTTACCTTAGGCAGCCTTAAGCCCTTTTCCCATAAATCTGCAATAGAGATTGCAAAGTTCTTATATATTTGTGTTTTGCACAGTGAAAAGTATTCTTTAAGTGCCAAGTGGTGTCACTTAGTGTTGTATGGCACACTTTGCAGTGTACCAGGCAGGTTTTTGCTTTGTCTTAAGGAGCTCATCTTCTGTTTATGCCTGAATCCTTGCAACAAAATATTTTAGCTGAACAAAATACTGCATAAAAGTCAATTTTGCAGCCTTTTAATGACTGGGGATGGACTGAAAGATTTAAATTATATGAAACTCTTAGCACAGTGCTAACACATTGCCTGGTGAGTATGTGTGTGTGGAAAATGCCTGTTTCCTGTTTGCCCGCAATTAGGAATTTTATTTTGAGGAAGGGACTATAGCAAAGTGGCAGAGCACCAACTAGGCTTGCAGAAGATTGACTTCTAGCATCTCCAATTAAGAGAAGCAGGAGGCAGATGAGTGAAACTAGACAATTCTGAATTAGACAGAACCCTGAGGGAAGGCAACTTCTGTCCCTAATGCAGATGAATCAACAACCACAAAGATTACATTAAAGAGATTGACAACATACTCAATATATTTCAAGGATGTTTAGGCAGATATGAATAAGCAGAAAACACAAATTACATCTCAGGGTTTATGGATGGTAAATGCTTTTTAATCAAGGCCACATTTTAGAGACTTATTTCAGCAAGAACAAAATATTAAGAAAGGAAAAGTCTTCACAGAAGTTGGAACTTTACTGCCAAGCCAGGCATATGTTTTTTTAAAAATAAGTTATTCAACCAGTGTCTTCTACTTTGTTAGAATCCTCCAGCCACTTGGTCTAACTCTGTAAAAAGAAAAGAAACAATACTGTGAATGACTGTTGCACACACTTTATAAATGATTTACTTGGGACAGGGTGAGTTCTCTATCCTGTTCAGTTTTGTCTCGAGCTGCTGTGGCATAGGAAGCCTACCAAAGAAAAGGAAGCAAGCTTAATTGAACATGCTAATATGATGTTTGTCAGACTGAGATTCTATGCATTCTTACCAGAGAGCCCACTTTTGCGAAAGCGTGTATGGGATTGTGCTACAAGTTGGTTGCAAAGATATGCAGCTCCTTTTTTAACCACTTTATATCTTGTGCAATGTTCAGACCTCCAAAACTAATTCAGGACAATGAAACAGCTCACTCCATAGCCCTACGTTTGCCACCTTCTTACAGTTACCAAGAATGTTCTAGGCTTTTTGGCCTTGATGTAGGCAACCTAACCTATAGTCTTTAACACTGTAATCTTAATATAGTTCCAATTTGGAAACTACAGTACTAGATCATGTACCAGTGAAAAGGCACATTAGTTGGCAACCTAACCAGGCATTGCAATTTTAAAAAAGTAACTCTGCAGAAGCTGAGCTGAAATAATTTTGAAATATTTTACACTAGATAGCTTTGAAATTTTGTCTGTAGCCATAAGGGCTGGAAAGTTCAAATTCCATAACAGAGATTTTGATATTAACTGAATCTTTTGAATGTTGCTTTTACTCAATTCTTAAGAGATTTCTAGGCACTGTTTAAAAGGTGTTGCATGTAAAGAGAGAAGAGATTGATGGCAATCTGGGGATCATTTAACCCATACGGTCCTTACCAGCATCTTCATCAGCTGCTGTAAGTTGTTCTGGATCTGTCCATAGACTAAATTAAAAAGTTCCTCCCTTGACTTTGCTCCATCCAGCTGAACTGAAATATAAGCAGCAGCACTTACAGATGAAAGTAGTTTTGCTGTGCTCAGCGAACTTAGTTTATGCCAGTGAGTATTTTAGCACAGAGAGCTAAATAAGCAATTCGTTTTTGAATCTGGCCAATGTGAACTAGAAAAAAATGTAGATTTTAACATCACATGTAATAAGTATTTTAAAACTGTTTAATTTTTATGAAGATGGATGTATTCAATCATCTTTGGATACATTTCATCACTAAAATTCTAGGTTAGAGTAACATTCAATGTTTTGCTGTTACATATATGAAACCGGACCGTGCATGCTTCCCTCTGCCTTCCATGCACAAATGGAAATTTAAAGTTCCACTTTCTTAAGAGCCTCCAAATTTGGTAAAATGAAAGCTTGTTCAAATTGCAATTTGGTAACAGACCACAATACTGATCATAGGTTACCATAAGCTTATCTGCAATGTGTGAAATTGCTCCCACGCAAGTGAGTCCACCCTCACCTTCTTGACCAGGCAAAAGCAGTTGTCAGCTTTTAGCACACTTCATCCCATGCCTGTTTCAGTCCGAAAACCTGCTCTGACTCTGGAGAAAAGAACCTGCACCTAGTGCTGAGCATGAAACCAACTTCGTTTCTCCCTGCAGCCCCAGAGATCTGAAGCTGCAAAGGGGAAACAGAACCCACGCTGCAGCGGAGTTAGTAGAGGGTGGGCAGCCACTATTTCATTCATTTGCAATGCTGAGATATTGGTTCAATAGCAGAGTATTCGAAAAAGCATACACTGAAAGTACTTTTATATAGAGTCATTATTCAAGAAGAGTTATAACCTGCATAAAACTAAGCATTTAACAATAACATTGCATGTTTTTAAACTATCCTGGGAAGTTCTCGATATAAAGTGGAGTATATAATTTTTCAAAGTAAATAAAATTAATCACCCAGCCTATTAGCATACTGGAACACCTTATTTAAAATTGATTCCTAGGACACAATTTAACTTACCAACATCAACATTAAGTTCTTCCATTAGATTCTTATGCTTGATGTACATTGGCCAGACATGACCATCAAACAATCCAGGTGGATCAGGCACAGTATAATTCCTCGAACTAGACATTGGAGAGGGGAGAAGGGGGAGTTCAATTCAAATGTGATTTCTATTCATTAAGCAAGAAGCCCACTTTAAATATTTAATCACTTCAACATGACTTTTCATATGATGGGACTTCTGCAAGAATTTACTTGATGGAAAGACAAGAGGCTTACCTTCTCCTCCTCTTACATTCTTCATAGGGAATAGAAAGAAAATACCGAAAGTCAAAAACATCAATCAAGGGCCTAAAAAATAAAAGCAGGCGGTTATATATACAGCAACACTAACGCATCTTCCCTACATCAGCCAAAATATAGTATTGGCAACACATATTCAGAGGCAGTGCTGACAGACCTCATCTCCATGAATTTCTAATCCTCTGCTGAAACCATCTAAGCCAGTGGTCGCTTGCCAAATCCTGTGGCATTGCATTCATCAACTCAGGCATTCTGTGCTGAAATTTTCTTTTATCTCCCTGAATCTATTGTCCATTCATTTCATTGGTGAGAGAAATTTCTCCATCTACTTTTTGCACACCATACAGAATTTTATAGACCTGTCAAGCCCATCCTGACAGCCACTCCCCTTTAGCTACTTTGTTAACTGGATCCACCCCCATTTGGGTCGCTCTTTTCTAAATCATTTTGCAGTTTTACAATAGCGTCTAAGCCTGCCTGACCAGAACTAAACGCAGTATTCCAAATGTGCCCACATCACAGAGCAAGTAATGTACCGGCATTTTACCTGCAATTGCTAGCACTGAATTTGTTCAAAGCCACCACATTTACAGAATTGGCAATCTGGCTGTGTCACATAACCACAACTTGGCGATTCTTTGCCTGGATTTAAGATGGTTTTGCCCTACTTTATCTATACGATATTCACTCACTTGCCAATTTAGTGCCTATTCATTCAGTTTGGAGAAGTCCCTCAGCAGCTCTCTGCAGTCTGGTTAAATTTTTTACCTTCCTAAATAATGCAGTGGTGGCCACTTTAGTATTCACCCTCAACACTGTATCTTTATGAAGAGTGTTATGAACAGCACTGGTCCACATATGAAGAGTGTTATGCATAGCTATGGCAAATGCCAGAGCTTATTTGGCATCAAACAAAACATTGTTTCTAATATTTGAACAATTTACAGGCTTCTTTCCCCCACACAAATATGCTCACCCCAAAGACAGTCTATTCCCTCTTTCTTGCTCTTCTCCTCTGGATACATGTCCAAAGTAGGTAAAAACTTAACTTTTTGTTAAGCCCTTCCCAAACGCAACGCAAAGAACAGCCTTCTTCATGCTCTTCTCTATACAGAATCAGAATGCACTGGAACAAGTAAAGGTTATCTTATCACAACCACCTCTCATGTGCCCATACAATCAAAGTGGTCCACACAACACCCAATTTGTTATCAGTCCAATACCTGCTAAGAGTAAGCAACTGTTTGCAGGTACCTGATTAGATACAGGAACGGCTTTAAGAATATTTTGACGCTTTACTTACTAGCAGAAAACACTGAAATGACCCGAGTATATAAATTAAACATCCACTTAGAAGGCATTCAGTAGATTGTACCAGTGTAGTTCAGGTACCTGTAAGTATAGAGTAGGAATCCTTCTATGATAAGAATATGGACAGTGTCATCATGCTCCTCTGAATCCTCTATTGTTCTGGTATCCAGTGTGTTAATACCATGAGATCGTTCAAACTTGATTGGGTTTTTCTTCCAAGCGTTGATGGTACTCATCATTGCATCCATATCCAAAGCACTAATAACTATGATAGAAGAGCAATGAAGTTTTTAGGTCCAAATAATGACACAACTATTACCATAATGGCCGCGAAGCACCCTGGTTCCAAGCGACTACCAATTCACATAATTTCCACAACATAACTTCTGTTCCTCAAGACCAGTTCTAGGGGTAGAGTTATAGACTTTAAAAAATTGCTAGTTCCTTGCATGGATATAAATAGAACTTACCATCATACTGTTTAAATCCATCTTCAACCTCTATCTCATCCTGGGGCTGAAACAGAATAAAAACTGTCTGGAGAGCGGCTCACAAATTTCAATGCTCATTTTAAAAAGAGCAAGATGGGGTAAAATTGTCCATTGAAACTAACTTGCCATTAACTCTGTGAACCACCCGGAGAGCTTTGGCTAATGGGGAGTATAGAAATGAAACTGGCAGCAGCAGCAACTCCTCATTACTCTTAGAGAGATTAAAGCTGGACCTATAATAAGCCTTGTAGTACAGAACTACAAGGCAGTAAAAAGTCACTTTCATTTTTATCTCATCACTAACATAGATACCTAACCTACTTTCAAAACAGAAAAACACAGTGGGGTCTTATCCAGTAACTGCAGACCAAACCCTGTGCCCCAGCCCTCCCACCACAAACTGATACACAACAAAACAAACACATTTAAAACAAGCACAAGAGACTGAAAACACCAAGTAGAAATAGCATGAAACCCACTTAATTTCCAAATTAGGGAAAACAAAACTTTATGATTATGGGGCAGATATAGTCTAACTAATGGATTAATTTTATACACTTGGCATCTAAAGTGAACCACACTTTAGAAAATTCTGGTCAGGGACGGGCAAGAAAAAATGTTAATATGGTTAGACAAAAGCCTAGGAGATGAACTGAACATGTCCTGCATACCATTTCTTTAAGGTAATAACTTAAACAACACAACAAGATACAACAGTAGGAAAACTATGTGAGTCAACCTGGATTTCCCCCAATAATTCCTCTGGAGTATGAAAGTGTCTGACTTTTAAAACAAAAGGAGGGCAAGAGAAGCAGTGTGTTAAATCCTGTACCTGCTATTTCTTCTTCCTCAATTTAATTCTGAAATTGGAAGTGAGCTCATACTCATCTTGAGGAGGAGATTTGTGGGAATTATAAACAATGGATGCAAACAGTCCTTCACCTGCGGATTTCTCCTGTTAAAATTGGGTACCTTGCCTTCTTTTATTTCTCTTTGCGTGGAGCAGATTAAAACACATGGATGTGCCTCTATCGTATGTGGTCCTGAGTCTTATTTACTTGTTTTTTAAAGTAAACATTCTGCACCATAATAAAGGTCTACACAAAGAACAATATTTACAATTGATATGATCTATCAAGATTTTTGTATACTGCCTGTCACGATCTCGGGACGGTCTTGCAATAAAAACAGGATAAAAATGAAACACAGCACCCAGTAATAAAATCTTACATTAAAAACCTAATCATTTTTTTAAATAATGGGTAAATTAAAAGGTTTTAGCCTGGCGCTGAAAATAATACAAAGCTGGCGCCAGACAAGCCTCTCTGGGGAGTGCATTCCATAAATGGGGCACCACCATCAAGAAGGTCCTTCTCCGAGTACATAAACATTCATTTATTTGCATGTTCTACTGTATCTGTAAAAAGAAACCAATCCTCCACTCTCTACCACCTATGATCACTGGGCACATTAATATCTCACAGTAAGCCTCCCTGTGAATAAGCCACAGTGGATTGGCTGGTTGGTTGCTTGAAGAGCCCACGGAATGCCCAAGAGGTTGTTCTATCCCCTCTTCTCCCTTAGCATGTATCTCAGCATCCTTCATGACAGAACCTGTCTTATCCCTCCCTCCATGCTCTGATTGTTAGCCCCTTTCATTTGCCACCCATTTTTCAGATTTTTTCCAGTGTCTCACAGCCACAGAACGGAAGGCTGGGGAGGTTGGACCCTGAACATTTTATTTGAAAATAAAAATTAAAAAGTCAGGGAACAATAATCATCCTTCCGAAATGCTATTTCAGGGTCAATGGAATGACAATGTCTCTAAGCTTGCAGAAAAGCATGCTGCTCTGTAGCCAAATGCCACAAACCACAGAACAATAGATTCCCCAGGTTTGGACTATAAGACTACATTGGTGGCAAGAACCACCCTAGAAAATCGGTTCTCATAGTGGTTTGATCAATAAACTATCCTGCCAGAACTGCACTGGGTTCAGACAGCATGACAGACCACCATGGCTGATAACTGATGATGCATGCCTAGGTCATTTGAACTAGATTGTTTCCCCAACTTCCCTCCCCTTCACAGCCATAAAAGCTAGAAATCTGGCTGGTCAAGATGTGACCAAAATCAAATCCTATGCTTTTGTTTTTGCATAGAATCTTAAAATACGGGGTGTCCCAAAAAAAATTGACATCATTGGCTATGTTATTAGACTATGAATGATATCAATTTTTTAGGCCATCCTATATACTCATCCTTCTAAAACTATCACTTGCACACTCATCTCAATATTGTACATCTCCATGATGCTTAGATTTCAATAAGTTGCTACAACAATTGGAAAAATAGGGAAACTCATTTTTTTATGAGCAACTCCTGTGAGCCCTACAGAAATAGATGAGCCCTGCAGCTCTTTCTAATACAAGATGGCAGAGATTGCTGAATGCTTTACGGCCAGTTCATATTCTATAGATAGTGGCTGTTGTGCTTTAGAACATCATTTCTGCCTGTGTTACCCCTACCCCCCACTAAGTGGAATCTAGCAGGATGCTAAGGTTAACTCAGCTTGTGCGTGATGCCACAGAAGTCTCAATTAGTCATTTGGATGTGGCTAGAAATGCATAACATCGGATACTGAATGCCCAAACATGCTTTTGAAAATGTTTTTCTTGCTGTAGAATTCCACCCTGTGGAATATCACTACTGTGACTTGTGGGATGATACAGGAGATTCTTGCCATCACTCCTACAAACACATCTCAGAAGGAAATCAGATGTTTTGGAAAGCTGAACTTTGTTTCACTAATGCTGCTATAAAGCACAACCCACATTGTAAGAATTCAACCCACCTCACAGAGGCCCCTTGCACAGAAAAGACTGGGTGAATTAACAGTTTGCTCAACATTTCATTAATGGATCTATGTGCCTGGATGGAACGCTTCCTCTTGCACGCTGCTGTCTGAATAGGACAAAAAGCAAGTGACATGGGGATAATGGAAGAAGAGCAGACAAACCAAACTGCTTGCCTCACCTTAAAGAAGTCATCTTGATGTACTACACTGCAGTTGGGCAGTGCATGCATGAGTTTTCTTGTCAGGGTGGTTTTCCCACCATTGGTAACTCTGAAATAGGAATTTGGGAGGAAGGATAAAAGAAAAGTGAGTGACAGAATCTAAATCTAATATTTTCAGACTGCAGAACGTTTTCTTCTATATGGAGAACTTTTCTGAAAGTCCTGAGAACATTGAGGGAAAGAAGTAAGAAATCCCTCTAGCTATTGTTTTCAAGATGGCAGCATTTCCTGTTGCTATATCTAAACACTGTGGCTGCAAAACAGAGTGGCTACTTCCCAAATACTACCCTTTTCACAAATACACATCTAATTGCTGTTTCTAAAAATGTTTTCTGTAAGCCATTTATAACTGCAAAGACAGGATACAAATACATTAAGAACTAGAATGAGTAAATGACTCGCCCTCCAACTGAGGTGTGAACCATGCGTTTTGTTGCAGTGTGCATGTACACACTTAGGTTGTGGATGGGGGACAAAAGAGAAATTCTTCTAGAATATAGATTATGACAAATTAATCTTATTCAGTTATTCCAAGGGCAGTTTAGCCTTGCAGCAAGAGCAAAACCTCTTATGATACTTCAAAGATATTTATTGTGGCATAATCCTTCATGAAACTGGAGCCTACTTCAACAAATGCATGTGGTTCCCATTTTATTACAGATTTCATTTATGGAACATTCAGTGAAGAACAGTGTTTGGAAGTGTCCACCTAGAATAAACTTGAGGTCAAATCCATGTACAGATATTACTAATGCTTGGACCCATCACACACATAGCCTAACTTACCTTATAATTTGCTATGCAGGTGGAAGGGGTAAGAAGAGAATTGGTACTGCCTTCAAGACCCCTGCCGAGTCAGGCCTTAGCTCCAGCATTCTATTTGCTACAATTGTTAACCAGGTACCTCTGGGAAGCCCACAGACTGGAAATGAATCCTATGTCCCTTTCCTGCTGTTCTAAACAACTTAAGCAGGATTCCCAGTACCTGGTATTCAGAAACATGCCACTTCTGATCCTGCAAGGAGAATACAGCCTTCCATTAACATCCATAAATTCGCCTAAACCCAATCCTTCAAATGAAAGGAACCAATCAAACCAACTATCCTACTTTTCTTTAAGGCAGTTTACATGTGGTTTCCTAAGTTGTCTCCCATCCAAACCCAAGACTTAAGCTTCAAAGGACCATTTCCCTCTTTTTTCCTTGTCTTTGTGCTTGCACAGAGTCACAAAATGTACTCATCCTTCTAAAACTATCACTTACACACTAATCTCAATATTGTACATCTCCATGATGCTTAGATTTCAATAAGTTACCACAACAATGGGGAAAAGAGTGAAACTCATTTTTTATGAGCAACTTCTGTTGCTACTTTTATATCCTGCCATTTGTTCGTCTTGCAAGAAACCCAAAATGGCTCATACAGTCCTCCTCCTCCTCTCCATTTTATCTTCAACGCTACCCTGTGAGGCAGATTAGGGTGAGAGTCCGTGCAGGGAGCTTTACGGCTGAGTGGGGACTAGAACCTGGATCTCCAGCATTCCAGGCGAACTCTAACCACTACACTACACTGGCTTGCTGAACTGATTGCACATAAGCTGATCCAGGAATCTTCCTTGGCCGAGCAGGGGATAAAAATACTTCAGTTAAATAAACTTTGCTGTATCATGTCCCTTCAGACAAGATTTAAGAAAACATAAGGATCTAAAACCCAGAGAGGTCTTCCCTGGCACCGTCGTTATTTGTTTTTCGGCGCCAGGCGAAGACCTTTTTATTTAAGCGGCATTTTAATTGTTAATATTATTGGATTTTATCTGGCCAGGGCAGCTTATTTTATATTGGTATTTTGTATTTTTAATTTAATGTTTATATTTTTTAATTTAATGTTATAATTATTTTTTAACTTGTTGTTGTAAGCTGCCCCGAGGCTTCGGCAAATGGGGCAGCATAAAAATGTTTTAATAAATAAAATAAAACAAAACAAAACAATTCCTAGATATTCTAGAAATATTAATATGTAAATAAAATAAAAATTATGCAATCATACTAAATACAAACCCATCTAAAGACGTCTAAAAGCCACTCCCAGCACTTATTATATTAAGCACTATATAATTTAATTTTAAATCTTTCTATTCAGTCCTATGCAAGGAGCCTCAGTCCGGCTTAGAGATAAGAATCAGTAACGGACAAACAAATCAATAAAATACAAAGTGACACGCATTCCTTGAATACGAATTCATTCCATTCGGGCCGCATGAGCACTCGCGAGATGGGCGCGGTGGGAAGCTCCAGCCGAGCCCAAAATCGACGCAGTGCAAACAGGCGAAGGGCCACTCGAGGAGGCGCGCCAGCCCCTTGCCTCTTCGCCCGCCAGCGTGCAGCGAAGGCCGCGGCGGCGGGGACGGCAGCAACAGCTGCTGCACGGAAACCCAAAGTCACCCCGGCCCCTTCCCGCGCGCGCGCCCGCCCGCCCGAGCCACCCCTCCCCCTCCTCACCCGCCAATTCCGATGACGACTTTCATGGTGGTGACACGCGAGCCGCGGGGCGATCGTGACGGCGGCGGCTGCTCTCACGGCGGACTCTCGGGGGGCTAGAGGAGGAAGGGAAGGAGGCACGAACGTCAGCTGGCGAGGGGCGCCATCGTCTCGGAGAAACGGCGGCAACGAGGGGAGCCGTCCACGCCTCGGCCGAGCGCTCGGCGAAAGACAGACACGCGCCCAGCGCGTTGAGCTCTCCTCCCAGGACCAGCCGAGCGCGCGTTCATTGGCCAGCCGCGTCGTCGCTGCCGCCAATCGACTGCCCGCACACCGGCTTCATTAGCGCACCGGGAAGTGGCATCCAATAAAAGAGCAGGAACCAGGATGGGTTCGGCTCCTATTGGCTGATCCTTCTCTGACTGTAGGCCCCCGCCCCCTTTGGGGCGGCCTTCTTGACAACCTTGTCGTGACTCGGGGAGCGGGCCCTACTCGCTCGTGACTTGGGGAAGCGAAAGGCCGCCGAGGGCGCCTGAGGCGGGCGGGGCGCGTTTGTCGGAAGGCCGAGTTGTGAAAGGCCGCTGCGGAGAGGACGCGAGTAAAAACCGTTCCTAAAGCAGATGCGCTTTCCTTTAAACGCATATTTTTCCCCTAATAAAATTATGTACTGTATAAAGAGTTGGGTAACAATCTACAGCGGCTTGGGTTTGTGAATTTCTATCTTTTTCTTTCCAGACGGCCTGTCAATTTTTGCTTTTAGACATGCGACTAAGAATTAATTCCATAGTTCAGGGTGAGATGATACTGTAATGTGGGCTCCTTGTATAACATTTGAGAATGTGATGCAATCATAAACTTATTTCGGGGGATGGTAACAGACGTTTCAAACGTATTCTAAACAAGCTCTGAGACAACCGAGGCTTGTGGCCTTTTTAAGGCTTAATATCGTTTATTATGGCATAAGTTTTAGTTATTTAGAGCGGACTTTCAGATGTGTTGGAATACCATTCCCAGATTCCTCCACCGCATTTACTCATAGAGTCTCTTAAAAGTGCTGCAAGAGTTTTCATTTTTTCACTATTACAGAAATTAAAACACTCAGACACAAACTTAGTGATGTTTATAGTTGATTGCCACTATAAAGTCTTGCTTCCTTAAGAACTAGTTGCATTTTTTAAAAAGATAGTAGGGGACATCTGGCAATAATCAAAAGACAGCAATCAAAAAATGCAGAATCTTATTAGAAAAGAACACAGCAGCTTCAGATTTTAAACTGAAAGCAAACTGGTTTTGACCCACCTGCCATGCAGCTGCTAAAGGCACAGCAGCAGCATGAACCTGGATGTATCACTTAAAGCACGTACATGGTTTGGTGAGCCTGTAGCTAAGTCTTGACGGACAGATTGTTCACTAAGTTGCCCAACTCTCTAATTTTGCAAAATTAGAAGTCCAAGTTCTTCTCAAGAATTGACACTTGACTTATACTATTAGTAACCTGCTAAAAAAGGCATTTTGGACAATTTACTTTCACTCAACTTTTCTGAACTATGTTTAATGAAAAATAATTATGCCAAGATTGACTGGAAATACCACACAACACAAGCCAATTCTTTCCCTTTCTTTGCCTTTCCTTTCTCCTTCCCCTTTTCTTTGCCTTTTCTTTCTACTTCCCCTTTTTCATAAAATTCATATAGGATTAAGCAATTTGCACTCAACAAAAACATAACAAAATTGTAAAACCCAGAGATGTGAATAAAGAAAAGTATGATAGTTCAAAATAAACACATAGCAGTATTAGAGAAAGTGGTAACCTCATGCATACATATAATCTTCAAAATGAAATACTGCAATGTAAACCTAAATGATGCTGATTAATTGAATTGTAATACTATTCACAGCCCTCTTCTTAAGGAATGGGAAAGCTAGTTCATATTGATTCCTCATGAACTAAAATTTGCAGCAATCATTCTGTAAATAACTACAACAGTTTTATTGGCCACCAAAACCTGACTGTCAAGGTTCAAGTCATTAATATCTTAAAGTTTTAATTAAGCCCACAAGCCCATGTACATACTTAACTGAGACTAGGATAAATTGAATTAAATGAGGCTTACTTCCAGATGAAAATACCCTTGAATGACCCCCAAGAAGCAAAACAATGCATGTGAACAGCTCCACCCAGAGGAAAACATATTGAGTGTAATTGTGATAATTGGAAGAAATTCAAGGTGAAAATTGGATAATTTTGTGCCTACATATTGAGAGACTGTAACACTTTTAACTATATTTTTTAGGAAGATTGGAGAGTTGAGAGAGGTAGTTAATTTGGAAGACTTGGCTATAAGTGTCTTTTAATGTTTTTTCTTTGTAGTGTGTTTTTATACTACTTAAAATATTACCTGCTTAAAAAGAAAATGATTTAGCTATTTCATTGGAATGGTTTAGATTAAATGTAATTTGGACTGGAAGTACAAAACAACAGGTAAAGGTATGGTGTGTTATATTCTGTTGCAGAATTTCTGAGATGTAATGCAGTATCTTATTAGAAGTTCAGGAAAGCTTTCATAAGAATGTAATACATGCTAAGACTTCTGCAATAGTTTTGGGCACCATTTTTTAAATAGAAAAGAGGAATGAGTTGGATAAACAAATGACTAGTTGAACATGATAGTAAGACCTTAGTAGAGCTAGAGGTCAGACATACAGTGGCAGTTAGTATGTAGCATTAGTCAGTGCTTCTGTCATGTTGTTACTAACATAGTTGTAATATAAGTTCCTTGTAAAACAACAACAACAAAAACCCACACTCATTGCTGCTGCATATCCTTGTATATGTATAACTTGTATGGCTTTTGTAACTCAAGTTCCATTTGTTGTTTATCAGCCCTAGCCTATATTCTGGAGTCTAGCTTTTCTGTTAGGCAAGTTACAAAGAAGTAGGGGGAACAGTTAATTTTGATAAGTGTTTAAGAAATACAGACCAAAAGTACGATGATTTTTTGTTCAGATAAATAAAGGCATCTTTCTTGGCCAGATTTTGTTGTCTCAAAGTACTTTATGCCTTATTATATTAATTTTTAATTCTTGTTACTCTTTTACCTATTTTTCTATTTTGTTATAAACCACACAGAGAGCTCTGGCTACAGATGATATAGAAATTAAAATAATCTATAGCAAACCTTAAATTGCTTTAATTTCTTAATCTTGAGGTTGCTACTGAGTGAGCAATGACAACCTTCCTGATCTGTTTTAACTGTTGTATTGGTGACCAGCCCCAGCCGGTGAGTGCATTACTTTTATTTCAGAAATGTATATCAGAACCTAACAGCTAAGCTGCTAAGATCATGTGCCTACATTGTTCGACAAGTTCATACTGTAGTCAGCCAGTTACTAATGAGAAGCCTGCAAGCAGAGTTTGAGTGCTTCCTATGCAAGCTTAGAACACAGCTGGTGTAGTTGCATGCTGTGGAGGTAATGCTCTGTGTTCATGAGTAGTTGCAAACGGCCCAGAGTTGCTAAGTGGTATAGAAATAAAACAAAAAATAACAAAGAGGACATACTGACTACTAACCAAGGATAATTAACTACCTTAGGATGGTTTTGTCCTGAAAGTTACATCAACATTATAATGCACAAATACTTATTAATTTGATTTTTATCTGTAAATAACTGCAGTAGTCGGTATTTCAGTAACAGTATGGGTTTAATTGTGTTTTTGTAGTTAAGTAGTTGAGTAATGTGAATTGTGATGAACAGCACCTGCAGGAATGGACAGCAATGCTACCTGTTCAGGAAATGGTTTCAAGAATGGCAGAGTAGAGAAGCAGCACCGGTTGCATCAAAGTGAAATTGCCACTGCCAAGAGCTCAAAGGAACATATCTATGTCTAGTACATATCCAAAGTTAGTTAAAAGTCAGAATAATTCACAATGAATTGTGTCATCTTTTATACATGTTATTTCTTTCTTGTCTCGCTTAAAGAGGAGGCATCCAAGGCTTGATAGAAATACAATAGGAAAACCTATGGATTTCGTACATATTACTCATGTTGGAGCAAAAGAGGTAGCCAGTGGCTTTCTATCAGTAAGTATATACTACCTGGGGGTAAAGCAAAGTATCTGTATGGTTCCCATGTATTGAGAATGCAAGCATGTAACTATGACTATCAAACCAAAGTAGAGCTAATTTTATTTTTATTTATTTAGCGTTTTTATATGCCGTCCTAGTCGCATAAGCCTCGGGACGGCTTCCAACATTGAAAATATACAATCAATAAATCACACATATAATTCAGTTGAACAGGAGACTATCTAAGCTCTAGCATACTAAGCCACTAGAACGGGGTAATCCAGCACATGCCCCACGGGCTGCATGTGGCCCCTGAACCCTTGCTCTGCAGCCCCCCCCCTTAGGCCTCCCAGTCCAGATTCTAGCAATGGCACAAGCGTGGCTGTGGCGAGCTCTCCCAGCGCTGGTGGGCTGGTGGCCTTGGAAGAGCTGCTGCAGCTGACCAGCACAAGGAGCTAGGTGCCTCTGCACTAGTTATCAGGAGTGGGCAGGGCATGCTGGGGATCTTATCAGCTCAAGTGCAAGAAGCTCAGTGCACCCACTTCAAGAAGGAAGAAGGGGGAGTGTCACATGGGAGGGGGGAACAGGCAAGAAAGGGATGGGCCACTCAGTGGCGTGGTCAGCGAAGGAACTTCTTGTCATCTCTGTGGAGCTCACAGGCCCACAAAGCATTCTTTTTTATTCAGTTAGTCCTAAAATCATCAATCAAAATACAGGAATATAATTTCATCTCAAAGTCCTCATCTAGTCCTTGGGATACAAAAAGTTGGATCACCCTCCACTAGAATATAACTGTTTCTCCTTGCTCAGATTTGACTGTCACTATTAAAATACTGAACACGTGGGAGCATAATACAACCAAACGTTAATGCAAGCTAACTTTGCAGAGAGTTTCTGAGTTTTATCTACTTGCAGATTACATTCTAGTAGGTAAAACTTTGCATTACTGAAGGGTGTCAGGTGCTTCTCAGGTATTTTAGCAGCAATGCTTTGTTCATTTTTCTTGGCAGTATATCCCAGTTAACACAGTTTGGACACTCCTAAGTGTGCAAATGAAACTTTAGCCATTAACAAATATCATAATCTAAATGTATACCCAGTATTGAAATTCAATTTTAAAAGACTTATTCTGATCCATATTAAGTGTAATCCTGTATGTCTCACAAGTCCCACTAAGTTCAACAAAACTTATTCTAGGCAAGTGGGTATAGTAACAGTATAAATTTTCAACCCAGCTCTTTCCAGAGACATAGGTCTTATTGCTCTTAGTAAGCCTGATTTTTCAAATGGTGGCTGTAAATTAAACTGTATAATATAATATGCCTTTTCTATCTAGGCTGGGCAAATGCAGGAACGGATGAATTCAAAAGGAGGCTACAACAATAATTCTACGAGTACACAGATTTAGATGTTTCAGGTGCAAATGCTGGTATGTTTTGCTTTGAAAGTGATTGGCTTTAGGAATAGATTTGATCAATTGTCTCAAGTATGCATATATTTAGACTGCTCATTTCTTTGCTGTGGTGGTAAACTACTCAATCACAATACTTGTTCTGTGAAAATCTTTTCATGCTGGGGCTCCAATTGTTATGATGCTGTTCAGCCATTCAAACCTCCACTGGTAGATCATCTAGTACTTGTTACCGTTGTACTATAAGTAAGACTTGATAAAGTTGTTTAAATCTTAATATATGGTTTTCTCCCCTATAAGGGAACCTGATTTGTAATTCATATGATTGAGGAGCTCGGTTGAATTATTTTCCCCCCAAAGAATTCCTCCCTAGGGGTCAAGTTAAAATCTGTTTTCATGGTGAATTTCTTTATTTTGATAAAGTTCTGTCCCTCATCCCTTGTTGGGACAGATTTACCTAGTGTTAAGCATTCTACATATTAAATGTTATTGAAGTTATTAGCTTTCAAACACTAATAATCACAATTGCCTCCCCACCCCCCTTAACAAGTTTGGGATGGTAAGGCCTGCAGTGGCTTTTGCTAATATACTACTTGTCATATGGAATGGGAATGTAACTTTATGGTATGTGTCAAATTCTCAGCTGGCACTGACAAAGTAGTCTTGTGTCATCACCATGTCATATTCTCTGAAAAATGCTTGTGAGATGTGCATGGAAATGGAGGGCTTGGTAAGGATACTTTAAAAATAGCTGAGTTCTTAAGTGGTCAGTTCAAGCAGGTCCAGGTGATAATCTTGCTGTTACTGGAATCTGCCAGAATTGCTACTCATGTTATTGCCAATCTAAAAGTTTAGGACAAGTGCAATGCTAATATAGCCCTAGAGGCTCTTTACTATTGGGGGTTATTTGCAAGATCTGTGCATTCCCTACCTGACAATAAATTCAGAATGGGGTCTAATGTCTGCCTTAACAGATCAATTTTCTATGTTGGTACTTAGCTGAAACTATCCTAAAATTAATATCCCACTGCTTCTATTTAAGTTGTAAGAACTAAGTTACTACATGAGTCATGAGACTTCTAGAACAGAACTAAATCAAACCATTGCTATGGTGAAAGCAATCATAATGGTTTCAGCTGTATGGAATGAAAGCAGAGTCCTAATTTTAATAATCATTACCAGTGTCACTTGGATGATTATCTTTTTAGATGAAGACAAAATTATGTCATTAGTTTTACTAGAAGGACCAAACACAAGCACCTCAGGTTTTAAAACAGTCACTTTTACTTAGTGACCTGTGTGTTTCTTTTAATCAGTCTTACTGAAATGTTCTCAAATGCATTTAAATGGTATGTGAATTGCTGGAAAACTGCTGCAAAGTTATGAGAGAATAATTTATATTTCTGCTAAGAACATTACTGTTAAGTACTTTGATGGTACAATGTTAATGTCTAGTAACTATCCTGTGCAGTACTTGTCCTATGCAGCAGTCTAGCATCTCCCTATGGATTGAAAGGTTGTATAAATCTTTAAATGGTAAATGTGGCACAAATCGTGCTGATTCTTTGGTTTAGATGAAATTAAATAGTAAATTAAATTAAATTGTTCCAGAAACCCTGTTTTGTCTTTAATTGTAAGACTGGCTGAAATTGCCTTGGTAGTTTTACTGTATATTGTGTTGCATTTATATCCTGCTTTTACTCTTGTGAGGAATCCAAGGTAGCTTACATAGTCTTTTTCCTTTTCCATTTTATCCTCATAATAATTCCGTACAGCTGGTTAGGCTAAGAGTCTGTGACTAGTACAAAGTCAGCCAGTGAACTTCATGGCTGAGTGGCAACTGGAACCCAGATCTGAGTCCTAGTGGAACACTGTGACCACTCTACCACACTGATCTTCTAAAAAACACTGCTATACAGCTAGTTAGTTAGTTGCAGAAACTAACTAGTTCTCTGTTCTTGACAGAGAATAGGACACACCATAGCACAGTTGAATTAACTGGTGTACTCTAGCAGAACACCAAAGTGTCATATTAATTTATTAGAACATGATAGAGCACTTGGTAGCATCTGTGCAGAAGCAAGTAACTGAAATGACTCATAAGAGACTTCCCAGCAAGTCCTATACTTGACCCATGGATGTTGAAGCAGTTTCTGTAGGTCCAGAGAAGAGAAAGCAACACCAGGTATCAGAGCCAGAAACTTCTGCTACACTATTATACTGTCTCATTTCATAACTGGGCTTTGCTAACTACCTGCTCCTATCTAGCATTAAACATCTTTGATCCCTGTAGAAATGGAGTTAGGAGCACCTATGATGCGCTGCAAAAAGTGCATACACAGATCTTCTATTTGTTAAGAGGATTCCCAGTTGTATTTCCTATTTAGCCTTGCCAGTACTTCTACAGGATTGTGCTACATGAGGAAAAGCTGCTTCTGCAGGGCATGTGAGGGTATGGATGCACCCAGGTTCAAAGCTCCCTTCTCTCTCCTCTCCCCCACTAGATTTTAAATTCATGAAATGTCAGTTTTAGAGCAATACAGAAAGATTAAATGTGCCTGACACCTTCTGGAAGAGGATTTTTGTTTTCAAATGTATATGCCACTCAATAGCCCAACAGGACTCTAAGTGGCTAACAGTATACAAATAGTAAAAGTACGGGGAAGAGGGAATCGGAGTAAGCACAATCAGCTTCTAAATTCAGGTTTCGTAAAATCTGAAAGAGGGATGGTCTTTGCTTGGCACCAAAATGAAAGTAGAGACAGGGCCAGGTGGACCACTGTGGTGAGCCTGTTCCAGAGGTTGGGGGCAGCCAGCGAGAAGGCCTTTCTTTTAAATGCCATCCCTTTTACCTCTCCTTGGGATCGCTCTCTCAGAAGGACCTCATTCTCAGATTTCAATGGGTGGGCAGAAGTGTATTAAAAGACCGCCTTTTCCAAGTAACCATCTCCCAAGCCTTTTATGGCTTTGTATGTTAACAGAAGTATTTTAAATTGGGCCTGTGCTTCAACTGGAAACCAATTCAATGAGCAAGAGAACCGATACCAGACACACAGTCCTATTTTGGACTGTTTGAAGTCTCCTGACCATCCTGAAAGGCAGGTAGAGCATATTACAGTAATCGTCAGGATGTTACCAGCACATGTATAACCATAGCCAGGCTCTGTCCATCGAGATAAGGCTGTAGTTGTCCTATTTGCTGCAGCTGGAAAAAGGCATTTCTGGCCACCAAATCCACTTGAGGCTCCAAGGAGAGTTTTGAAGCAAGGACCATTCCTGCACGGTGAACCCTGTCCTTTATGGGACGTGTGACCTCATCCAAAACAGGGCAGTGGCCATCCATCCATCAGACAGCATTAACCAACAGTACTTCTGTTTTGCCTGGGCTGAGTTTCAGCTATTGGACCTCATCCAGTTCCTTATTTAAGTCGAAGCACTGACTGGTTCAGCCATGCCAGTCTAAAGCACACAGTTATACACTTGAGTATAGTTGGCATTTTTCCTCACATGCTACGCTCAGAGAAAAATGCCCCTTCCCTTACTGTTATCCCATATGAAAACTAACTTAAAGCCTATGTATTTCTGGAGGGAGGTCAATCTCCCTAACAGCATTTTGCCAGTCATATTACTACACCTCTTAGCAGTGAGGGTAAAAGCAGTAACTGGAGTTACTACTTTTCCCAAGTGAGACCAAATACTCTATACTTTGCAATTAATAGTAGCCTTTAAGAACTACATTTGGGGATTGATGTACTCAATTCCTCTTACAACATTCCAGTTTCAGTAAGATCCACATAGATTCAAGCTTACTTCAGTCTTACACAGCAATAAGGCATGCCTGCTTCGCTGAGGTTTTGCAACAAAGCACCTTGTCTAAAGCCTGTTAAACCTCTAGCAATTGATGCTTGTGCACACAAGGGAGGTAGCAAATTAGGTATTATACAAGCACTCCAAAGGAAAAGTTTTTATTAGGCTCGGCTGCGATGCATCTTACTACTGAGCTTGTAGCAGGCGGTCGGGAGGGGGATTTTCTGAATTCTTTCAGATCTGTTGCAAGGGTAGGCGCCGCAGGTGCTCCGAGGCACTCCGTTGTTCAGGTTGTTTTGGGAGGAGCAAAACAAAAACATCATTCTCCACAGGACAAGCTGCCCCAGCTCGCAGCAGCGAAACCTCCCCGTAGTCGCCAGCGCGTGCAGGCTGCCTCCTGTAAACCCCCTGCGGCGCCTTTCACGCGCTCCATCTGGGCCACCTCTGCCCCCCCGGAAAATCCCGCCCAGGAAAGGCGAATCGTGTCTGCCCCGCTAGGGCTGCTGAGCGCAGGGCAGAGTAAACGAAAGGCGTGGAGGAAGCCGGCCGCGAAGCAGCGGGGCAGGGCGCTCGGCGAGGCCGGCGGGCAGGCGAGAGGCGATCGCGCGGCCAGACGGCCCCAGCCGCTGTCTAAAGGAAGACCCGCTCCGAGCGGGGGCGGCGATCGGACAGGAGGGAGCATGAGGGCTGCCGGGGCGCTGCGGGCCGCCATTTGGGGCCTGCTCCTCCCGTTGGTAAGAGATTGCAGGGCGCCGGAAGTGGGCCTGGGAGGCACCTGGCGCCCGGCTTTCCCTCCCCGTCGGGCAGGCCGCGGGGAAGGTCGGTCGGTCGGACGGGCGGTGAGGGGGCGAGGGCGGGCGAGAGCGCGGCAGGCGGTTGCGTCTTTGCGGAGGGCGAGGCGGGGCGGCTTCGGGCACGGGGCTCGGAAGCGGGATGCCGAGCGGAGCGGGGGTCGCTCTTTCAGGTGCTCTCCATCTGGTGCTTCGGCACCTTAGTGAGGGAGAGGCTCCCTGGCGACGCCTGAACCTAAGTGGCAGTCAGCCGAAGGAGAAACGTAAACCGCGGTGACTCTCTGGAAATGGGGAAGAGAAATGGCCGGCAGGGGCCATGGCCGGCAGGCCCAGCGAGGCTCAGGGCATCTCCCCAACCGGGGCTGAGAACAAAATGTGGGATTAGATGGACCTCTTAGGATCCTAGCACAGGATGGCGGGCAGGTAGGCTGGTCTCTCTGCAGAAGCTCACCTATCACATACCCTCTGTAGGATCGCTGCTCTTGCCAGGGAATTAGCCCCCGCTTTTCTCGTAGGAATAACATGGCAGCAGTTCATTTGTATGCGGGAAAGTCGAGGGGAGGTGTTCAGTTTTACGGGGCACTCGGGAATAACACGGCCGTTGGAAACCAAATGGCTTTTCTGCTTTGGGCCTGCAGTTGCTACCTGGGTAGCTCGCCCTATCCTTGGTTGTGCCTCTTGGCTGTGCTGAGAGGGTGATGTAGTCCAGGCTCTTAATGCACAGAGGTAACGATCAGCCTGGTATTTCGGTTTCTACATCATGAATGCATTTCAAAATCTCCACTTTAACCAAAATGTTCACTGAAAGTTGGGAGATTGTTTCTTGTTTTGGGCACAATGGGATTCTGAGTTAAAGGAGGAATGTCTAAGCCACATTCCTCTGTTCCCACAAGGTGCCATACAGATAACTGTGGTCTTATTTTACTTTTAAGGGGTCCCCCCCCCCCAATCGCTGAATGGTTGGTAAACTTCAAAATGGAGTGCTGCCTTCTAGCTGTTGGTCATCATTCCCCAGATACATTCCTTGGGAGTAAAGATGGAGGGCAGCTGGTCGCCATCATTTCATTTTAAAGTTCTCCCACCTGCCTGGGAAAAAAGTCTCCTTGCCATTGCTTGGTAAGTGGGACTATTGAACCAAACACAAATTGTTATTATGTGTGTGGATGATGGAGCTGATGGCTGAAGAAAGTGCAGGAAGCAAACTAACATTGGCAAGAATCTTGGTTCTGCAAGTATTGGGACCAATGGATACAGGATGTTCTTTAATATATCCTCCTCCCTTAAAGTATTTCATTTCATTTATTTGATTCCTGTCCTGCATTTTTGTGAACTCAAAGCAGCTTACATCATTCTCCTCCTATTCTTAATCTTATGCCCACAACAAAACCCCTATGATGTAGGTTGGGCTGAGCTTCTGTGCCATGGCTCCTCAGCTGAGCAGGGACTAGAACCCAGGCTGCCTGAGTCCCAGTCCCACATTCTTAACCATTATACCATACTGGCTCTCATTTATATGGTTTCTTTGTCAACTTTGTTGGCTGTTGAGGGAACAGGACAAAGTACAAATAACAGAGCATAGTACTAATGTATCTTAGAATCTTAATTTCGTATGTCCCTGAAACTGATATAGATAGGTCCTGTTGCAAATTCAGATTGATTGAAGATGATGCTAACCTTCCTTACCTTTTTGGCCAGGTTATTAACTAGGAAGAATTTAAAAGCATTTTCAAAATCATGATATTTATTCATAATGTTATGTATGCTTTGCATTTCTTATTTAAGGTATTGCATAGTCCTATGTTTATCTTCCCAGAAGTCCCATTAATTTTATTAAAGCCTTTAATGAGGAAAGTACTATAGGTTTTAAGTCTTATTCTTGCAACAAAGCAAGAAAACTGAGGATGGGGAACTTGTAGCTTTCCATATATCAATAGACTAAAATTCACATCATCCCTGCCCACTGGTTATGCTTGCTGGGTTTGATGTGATCTGATAGCCAACAAAATCAGGAAGGCTGCAGTTTATCCATCCCTGAAGTATAACGTTAAGATAATTGCATTCCTGTATGAGGTAGAAAAAACTCTTTTGTATTGTTTTGTTTACTCTTTAGTTGCTTGTCTTGATCATAATCTTCATGGATTTCCTATGTAGGCGTTTCCTACTACCAGAATTACTGTCTTTAAACAACTACTGTTTTCATAGAATAGTAGAATTGCAAGGCGCCAGAGGGTTCAACCCCTTGCTCAGTGCAGAAGTTAAGCCATCCCTCTCAGATGGCTGTCCAGTTGTATCTTGGATGCCTTTCGTACAGGAGAACCCAAAACCTCCCTAGGTCATTGGTTCCATTGTTGTACTGCTCTAAACAGTCAGGGAATGTTTCTTGATACCTAGCTGAAATCTGGCTTCATGTAACTTGAGCCTGTTATTCAGTGTCCTGCACTCTGGGATGATCAAAAAGAGATCCTTCGCTTCCTTTTGTGACAGCCTTTCAAGTACTTATACAGTGCTATCATCTCTTCCGTCAGACCTGTCTTCTTAAGATTAAACACACTCAATTCTTTCAGCCTCTCCCCTTGTTTCCAGTCCCTGCATCAGCCTTGTTGTGCTCCTCTGAAGCCTTTCCAGCTTGTCTGCATCTTTCTTCAACTGTGGTGGCCAGAACTGGATGCAGTACTCCAAAGGAGGCCTAACCAGAGCTGATTAAAGGGGAACTAGGACTTCACATGATTCGGCAGTGATACTTCTGTTAATGGAGCCTAAAATAGCATTTGCCTTTTTCACAGCCTCATCACATTTTTGACTCATATTTAGCTTGTGATCTACAACAATTCCAAGATCCTCCTCTCTTATAATATTGTATAGCCAAGGATTCCCCATTTTGTAATGATGCATTTGGTTTCTTCCTAAGTGCTGAACTTGGCATTTGCCCTTGTTGAATTTCATTCAGTTTTCAGCCCAGAGCTACAAACTATCACCTTGAATCTTCTTTCTGTGTCCCAGGGTATTAGTTATCCCACCCAGTTTGGTGTCATCTGCAAATTTGGTAAGTGTTGCCTGCACTTCCTTATCTAAATCATTAATAAAAATTTTGAAGAGCACTGAACCTTGCAGTACTCCTCCTTGTTGCCTCTCCCCAGTTCGGGAAAGTGCTATTGATGAGCACTCTTTGAATCCAATTTTTAGCCAACTGTGGATCCACCTGAAAGTTGTTCCATATAGTGCACTTTTTAGCTAGTTTGCTAATCAGGATTTCATGTTACCTTGAATAACAATAAACTTTTATGTAACTTTGCAGATGAAGACATCTCTGTAAGCCTCACAAGACAGGGTAGGGCTGAATAAAGCAGGTTTGCTTCTGTCAGAAAGAATCATATGAATGGTGCTCCATGTGCTTTGGTGAAAGTGGTGAACATTTATTTTGGAGTAGCAGCGTAATTTTGATATACTGTTTAAAGGATCTGTGGTAATGTGAGAAGGGCAGAAAAATAGTTGGGAAAGATGACATTGTTGGATTTAAAAACCCACTCTGGGATGTAAAGCCCACTGTGAGGAAATTTGTTATGTAATTCAACGATTGTAGACTTGCTTGAAAAAAGAAAACCCAAAATATAACCTGGAAAATGCTGCACTGAACAAAGACTAATTATGGTGTGTGCTACATTCTGTTCCAGTTTCTTGTGCAAATATTAATGGCAGATTGCTCAACTGTCTCCAAGTCTGGATGTACTTATATTTTTACTGTTTAGATAGCCTGCCTTGATTTAAAGTAGAAAGACCTGCACAGCATTTCAAGTTCTTCATCGTGGCCTCTGCGCATCACACATATGGGTGCTGCACCTGCGCAGTGCCTTTGGCCGGAAGATTACAAGCTAATGGTTGTTGGCGGGAAAAGCTCCGCTCCCCCTCCCCCATGGCCTATAAAGAGCGGAGCGTTCGCCATTTTGTTCAGTCTTTGCGACCGCCATTCGCTGTGCCTTGTGCCGCTTTCGCTATCGCTCTGACCGTTGCTCGTCTAGTTTGTTCTTGTTCTTGATTATTCTCCCAGTAGTTATACCCCTGTTAGTTATTGCTAGTTCTTATAGTTCTTGTTAGTTTCACAGTTCTTTATTGTTCTACCTTCTCTTTCAATCTTCTATTAAAACAAAAACAAAAAAAACAAAAATATTCTTACCCTCTGCACTGTCTTCTATTTCTTCTTTTCTTACGATGGCGCAGCGAGCGGCTTTCCGCAAATGCGTGGAATGCGGTCTAAAATGTCTCTGACCGACCCGCATGACCTGTGCCTCCTCTGCTTGGGTGAGGGGCATAGGACTGACAAATGCTCTCACTGTCTGGTCTTCTCTAAGCAGGCCAGGAAAAACCGTGAGAATCGTCTGCGGAGGCTCCTGTGGGATTGGGCTCGCATGCAGTCCGACCCACTCGTTGCTCCGAAGCCTGGCTCTGCTACGGTGGCTCCGCCCTCATGCCCTTCGGACGAAGGCGCGTCTACCATGGGGGCTCCACTGCTTCTCCGAAGAAAAAGCGCGAGAAGCACAAGCATGCTGAACCCGACAAATCAGCAAAGAAAGCCAGGAAGGAGAAGCCTCCGAAACCGGAGCAGAAGTCAAAGGACCTGGAGCGCCCTCGACACTGATTTGGGTTCGACGGCCCCCTTGGTACAGGCGGCAGTCACTGTACTGACTCCACCTGATCCGGTGCTCCGGGTGGCTATGAGGGTCACCCCTCAAGGGTCCCCTCGAAATGTGGCTGACCTTCCTGCTGAGCCGCTTCCAAACTCTTCAGCGGCGGTCAATTTCTGATGGGGAGATTCAAGACTCTCCCCCCAGGGCTAGGTCGCCCACACCTATGCCCACAGCCACAATGGAGGTGGATGTGGAGATGTCCCTGCCTAGGAGCCGAAGGAGTCGCTCGATGGAACAGTGATCCAAAGGATGGCACCATTC